CCAACGAGGCGGGGATGGGAATGGTCCCGGGACAGGACCCATCCCTATTTGAGATGGGGATTGGACTTTCAATTTCAAGAAGTTAATAAATATTTTATCCAGTTAATTATAATTATTTTTCGCATTGGTTAAAATTTTAGAAAACTAAAATAGTTAATTTAAATGGTAAAATACATCTTTTACTCTCTTAAATATAGAAAATAATTATAAATGATTATTGAGCTATTTGACCCTTAGCTGATCTTATTGAATACTAAGCAACTTTTTTTTTTCCTTTGAGAAAGATTTTGTTATAAATATATACAATGTGGGTTAGTAGGTTCTATATATAAATGGTTTTAAGTTAAAAATAAATTTATAAAAATTATGACACTATATTATTGAGTATTTGTAGCATCACATCTGTAAAAGCTATAGCAGTAATTGACATGTAATTTTGTGGAGTCATAAGTTCGATATCTGTATCTTAAAATTGATGTACTAAAAAAAATAGGAAAATTTAAAGACTATCAACTTGTGTATAATTCAACTGGTTAAGACACTAATTAAGTTAAAAAGATTTAGGGACTAGACTTGAATTTTATAGAAACGACCATGGTAAACAACAACTTATTTCAATTGCCAACTTGAGCAAAGCTTAGGGGATTAAGACATTTATGTATGATCAGAAAATCGTGAGTTTGAATCTTATGTTGAACTTAAAAAAATAAATCTTATATCTTATACATCATCATATGAGTTTTTAAATGTGAACGAGTAGGTTAAATTTGGTGGACCTAAAAATCTGACCAACCCAATTGAATTAGAACAATGAATCAGATCTAATTCAAATTGGTTTCAACCCAAGTTACACCGGTATCATTACGCTTTCTCTAGTTACTCTCTTCTCTCCTATGGCCTTTCCATTTTCCAAATTAAAAGATATTGTTATTTTTATCGAGCCGGGACTTTTCCCACGATATGGTGGTATCTCTCGTCATCTCAACCGAAACTTCACTCCTAGATATGTCTAAATATGTTTACCTTCTAAGGATAATGTTTAATTTGATTAAAACCATTAAACTCTCTTATAGCTCACCACCAAAGTTTGCTCATGTATGAGATTTATTTTCAACTGATCGCATGTTATATTTTTGTGTTCATTTTAGTGAGGAAGTTAACGTGTGATTTTGGGATTTTTTGAAAAATTGAAGGGATTTTCAAAATAAATTAAAAAAAACTGGGACTTTCAAAATATTTATGGACTTTCGTAAGCACGGATGAACTTACAGACTTTCGTAAGTTCGTTCGTGACGGGACTAGATGCGTCTCTTAGAGAGACACATCTATCCTTGAAAACAAAGGAATCCCGCGTGGCAGGAAATCCTTTCGGCGGGTTCCTGCAATATATTCATGTACCTTGTAACATAGATATACGTTTTCACACATATGACCTACGCGGGCGTCATGAACAATATTGGGAACGAACTTTGGCTCCCATATTCAAGAGTGGGAAAACCGCCAAAATAATACTATTAATGGTCACTCTATAAATGAGGGTTGCAGATGTTGATCATAATTATAATACTTGGTTCAATCGCAATAGTAGGAGATTTCTCACAAGGGCAGAAACATCATATAATTAATTATTTGGTAATTAACATCATAACTAAATTTTTATATCACTTTATTTATCAGTATTAAACTTGTTTTCATCTTTTTTCCAGAATTTCATGCCCAATATGACTGATAGCGGTGGAATACATTTATCTAATATTACCGAAATATATCGATCGATGCAATTTGAAGGAGCCATAGTAGGAGAAGACGACAACGAAGAGGAGCTAATATGCTTGATGATGATCCAAATGACCAATAATAGAAATTATGTTAAGTCTTACTTTTTTTCTAAGAATTTTGAAGTTTGTTTTATTGTAATCAATGAAATTTCAAGACACACGATTTCAATTTTGACTATGTATTTATTTTTATGAATTTCGATGTTCGTATTTATGATGTATATTTAATAGAAAATTTAAAACTTTAGATAAGTTATGAAGTTTGAGTTTATATTTTATTATAAAAAATTTTAATTATTAAGTTAATAAAAATACGAAATACATAAAAGATTTTATTTAAAAAAGAAAATATTAAAAAAATAGATATTAAATTTTGAATATTTATTAATATAAAATAATAAACTCTTAACCTAAAATACTTACAAAATAATATAAATCGATAAAACAGTTAATTCAAAAGGAAAAAAAAACGTAGTGATGTCCATTCAACGAACGCCAACGACTGATGCATCTCTCTAAGATGAAATGTGAGTGAGATTGTTTAATACAAACATCGTAATTTGAAAGTTCATATCCCAAATATTTTGAAAGTCCCCTTTTTTAATTTATTTTAAAAATACCTTAAATTTTCAAAAAATCCGTGATTTTGAAATAATTTCAAAAGTTGAAAGTTACCTTGAAATCTATATTAGATCCTATAATAAAGTTTTAAGAGCATAATGATTTTTTTTTTCAGGATAAAAGGATAATTTCTCTTTTTTCAATTTATTTTAAAAATACCTTCAATTTTCAAAATATCCGAGATTTTGAAATAATTTCAAAAGTTGAAAATTACCCTTGAAATCTATATTAAATCCTATAATAAAGTTTAAGAGCATAATGATTTTTTTTCAGGATAAAAAGATAATTTTAAAATATAGTTAAAGTAGGAAGATAATGTTTTTTTTAACACTACATGTAGGAGTGAGGATCGAACTCACGACCCCTTGATCGTAAATCTATCAAAACGGGATATGTAGTATAATTTAACTTAAATAATATCAACACGGTATAATCGGCACCGGTCTTCGGTTCTGGTCAGGAGCTCCAATTTTTCCACCCATTTCTTCTATTAAAAAAAGTTAACCTAAATATTATTAAAAAAATACATGTCAGGAACTTATCTATATAGACTGGGAGCCTCCCACTGCGCGCCTTACTAGCAAGAGCTACAATGGAGGGAGCCTCCCTTCTCTTCTGCCTATCTTGCTATTCGTCTCCGTGCTTCAGGCCTAATTTTAATCTATCTTCCCACATTTCTGGAATATGCCGGTTTCCGGCTAGCGCAGCCGTTCCGTACGTTAAAGATTCCGTGCCACACCTCTGCGCTCAAGCCTCGCTTCGCGCTTCTACTTCTTTTCTCGAAAATTCTGTGACTGGAGAGAGCGATTCTATTTCAACTTCTTCCAAAGAAATAATACCCAAGGTCGACAAGACCGGGAGGCTTTGTAGCCCCAGAGCTGCCAGAGAGCTCGCTTTGTAAGATTCACCCTTTCCTTCCCACTTCTTTTCTTCTTTCTTTGAATTTTTTTTTCTTATCTATTCACAAAATTGGTGCAGGCACTCGGAATGCGCTATAAGAAATTGTTTAATTTCAAGACTTGTAAATAATTATAATCTTACTAGATCATTCAATCGCAGGTCAATTGTTTATGCAGCTTGTTTAGAAGGCTCCGACCCAGTTCGGCTCTTCGAGAAGCGGTTGAATGCCCGGAGAGGTAATCTATGGTCGAGACGGGTGCTCTAGTGCTCCATATTCTAATTGATGATTTTATCGTATTGGAGAATTGGAAGTTACATCTTTAACTGAAATATGACACCAACTGCTTACTTCATCTGTACATACAATTCAGAACCGGGATATGAATTTGACAAGGCATCATTGATGGCATATAATCATATGAGCTTTGGGGGCCCGCCAGTTACTGTGGAAACAGCTGAAGAGGCAGATGAGCTTTTACGTAAAGATGAAAAGGATTTTGCAATTGGTAAATAATTTTAAGGTTTTCTTACATGTATTATTTCATCTTCTCAATTCAGTTATTACTGTTTTCTAAAAGCACAATTGGGCTCTCGTCTAATATATGCTTGTCTTCAATTAGAGATGCTTTCCCTTCATACCTAGTACGAAGAGAATTTGATGGCAAAAAAGCCATCTTATTCCCTTCATAGTGATATCATGAGGCATGAGAACTGTTTAGCGCCTTTCTTCTTTTTCCAGCCTCAGATGGAGTTCATAAACAATAAGTAAACCACCTTCAACGTATAACTCTTTTGAACTTGCATACACAGACATGATATCACCTTTTTTTAGAAAAAATATATTTGAGAAAGAGAGAGCAGTTAAAGAAGTTATATAAAGTAAGACCTGCTAGCCATGGGAATAAAGTGATTACTTTAACCAAAGTAGTAATGCTCCGGAGTTGAGATAGTAAAAGTGTTAATTTATAGTGGTATCTGCAAAATAGTTCACAATTTGATTAGAAGAAAGTACACGTTGGACTGTCAGTTACTCGTGGATAATTTGATGTTTGGAAAATGAAAATAAATCTTGACATGCTTGATGCAAGTGTGGAAAACAGGATTAGACACTAGTGCATGTGCACCCCTGTTACACTAGGTAAGGGGTGCATAAGAGAGATAAAAAGATAGTTCCCGAGGAAGAGAACACACCCAGATGATTTTAGTGAATACATTGTTATGTGCTTGATATATGGATGCAATGTTTGACTGAGCAACAACCTATTGCTTGGATTATAATCAAGGGATGATAATGAGCCAAAAAAAGATGCAATATCTTGCTACAATATTTGAATCGTTTAGGTATGATCTTTAATCAACATCCAAACACCTTTAAAAGTACTATTCGACATGGATGCAAGTCATTCTTTAACTAAGCATAAGACATGCTTAAGAACTTCTGGTGATTAATGATTGTTCATCTAAGACATGCTTAAATGTCCTAACTTTCTATGACACCTATACCTTGGTACAAGCTAATACAAAAGCGTTGCTAGGTTTGATGAAAAAGACCAAGGAGGTTGGTCTTCCCATTCTTCGATGGCTTAGCCATGTAAAATAAGCCCTTACCTAATAGGAATTGCACTATTGTAGTGTAGAGTTGATGAGTCTGCTAGTGTTTCCAAACAGTAGAGATCCTTTGTGAGAATAGAGATGACAATAGAGTAGAGTAGGGTTGGGAATGTCCTCCCTATTCCCAACCAGGCTAGGAATTTTAATACTCATCCTTGGACCCTAGGCCATTATTTGATTTTCATTCACAGCAGCTTTACGGATTGAATTTTCTTGACTATTTTTTAATTTTAATATATATATAATTTTTTTTTTTGGTATAAAGAAACACTGATTCATTGCTAATAATTATATAAAAGCTAAATTTCTTTATTTGATAAAATAGAAAAATTATTGTTAAAATGCTTATGAGTTTTGAATGTTAATTTTGTAAAAATACTTAATATTTTTATCAATATATATATATATATAGGAAAAGTTCAAAATAGATTTGTAATAATTGAAAATTACGAGATGCCAACACGAGCTTAGCTTAGCAGTAATTGGCACATGTTTCTGACCACGAAGTCATGAGTTCGAATAATTGAAAATTCCGAGATGAGGGTGGCAGTAGGTTGGAGGAAAGTCAAGTTGACATTTGAAATGAGGAATACATTCTTTGTCCTCGATCGAGAACGAATTGAGAAAATAGACTTCTATGCACCACCCTTTTTCCATCTTCAAGGGAAGTCGAGGTGGCAGTTGAATGGGGAAATGCATTCTTTGGCCTCAGAACGAATTGAGAAAAAAGACTTCTTCCATCCAAGACCCTACTTCCATCTTCTCATTTAAGCAATTATAGTTAGAATACTCTTTGTCATCTGGAAGATTTTCTGACTTTCCCTCTCTTCCGAACCTATATCATCTATCATATTTTTTCTTATCCCAGGAAAAAAAGAAGGAATCTTAAGAAAATAATGTGAAAATTAAAATTAAGGCTTTGTATTTTATGTGCAATTACGTTACCTTTATTGTAAATCAATCTGACGATGTATATTTCTTTATGCACAATAGAACTTATCATGACATATAGTAGTCACTAACAAACAACTTTATCTATAGCTTCTTTTTCTAGATGCTTTTATTACAGTTGTAAATGCAGCATTGTTTTAGTGTTAGTCAAGTCTTGTTTTCTGCATGACTGTACCTCAGAAGCAGCAATCCTTGCGGCCCCACCAAAGATGGTCTACAGCAAACTCATTTTACGGTAAACGTGGTTTATAATTATTCCCCTGCTTTTGGCAGGGAATGATATGATGAAAATTTAGTATGAATTCCATGTACTTTGTAAATGCTATTTATTTCAACGATGAAATAAGGTCAGACATTGTCTTCGTGGTTTTTCAGGTTTTCACGCAAACTTTTGGTTGCAGTTGTGGACAGATGGGATAATCACGTGCTTAAAATTGAAAATGTCATTCCTTCAACTTGGAAGGTCCGGCAAAGAGCATGCTTCTTTTTCCTATCTTTGTTTTCTGATTTTCTCCTCTCTTTTAGTTGGGATTCTAAGTTGAAGCATTTATCGTGTGGTTATAATACTCCTCCAGTACTGATATTTTTCTTAGAGCATATGTGCGCTGTTGGTCATTTAAGGGGTTTTAAAGACTTGAATTGGAGTTCCCCTTTTGCATGACTTGAAATTTGAAACGCTTCATATGATGATGGCAAGGATGGAACCACAAACATACGTGCAATATTTCAACCATGGGTATTGTTGAATCTCTCACGTGAGTGTTGGAATTCCTGAGCTTTAATACTCGAAGGTTTGAGCTTAGTGGTAAATATCCTTGGGACTCGGAGAAAATAGTTAATGGTTTCAGAATTCCTTGGATCACCTTTCCAGAATATTATATCTTACAAGTTCTTGACAACGGAATTATGTACTCGTCCAAGTTTGAACTTAGAAAGTATTAAGTTATTAATGGGTTTTAAAACAAAAACCTTTAGTCTTGAGAACATGAATTTAATAGTTATCTCTGCAACTGCGTTAAGCATTGTACAAATGTATTATCATTCTATTGGATTTTGTTTTTTTCTAGTGACCAAAGTAGTTGAGCTTCTCTGTTTCTTCTCGTCTTTTAATTGGCATGTGCACTTATAAGTGAACCTAAAGTTGAATTTTACGTTTTGTTAATCTATTAAATAAATCATTCCAGCCTTTATATTCTCCTTATTATCCAGACATTGCAGTTGAATGAGTCCAAAGCAAAGATCGTGTGCTTGGACTTTAAACTTCTTGAATTAAGCTGCGTATTTTCTAAGGATTTTTCTCTCAAATAAGTAATGGCGCTTACGGAGATTGTATGTCTCATGCACTCGTATATTTCAGAGCAAGCCAGCAGGACGGATTCTGGAACTTTGTATTCTTCACCTGGCTATGTCTGAAATAACGGTTGTTGGAACAAGACGTCAGATTGTCATTAACGAGGTAAATGTGTCAGCTTCTTTAATTCAAGGTTACAATTATCAACTCAAATCTGTTGATATACGTTTGCACCAATCCC